GGTTTTTATTGTAGGTATTAGAATAGCCAGAGGCGTTGGGAAGAGTCCAGGGCAGAGAGAGAACGGAGACTGAATATGTCCACAGTCTGGACCTGGCCAGGAGAGGAGCAAGAGCAAACCTGAGAGAGAGGAACACAGAGGGAGCGCAGGAAACACAGAGACAGACAGAGGGGAAGAGCGTGGGGGAGCAGAGAGGAAGCCAGAGGACATACCGAAAATAGCAGGATTGTAAGAGTGAGTAGCTGGGGGTGGAGATAGCCAGTGAGCAGGAGAAGGTTTAGGGTGAAAAGGGCTAGGATGCCTATGGACTCGGAAGTGTGTACCAGGCACTTGCGGTACTGAGGGAGCCTGGAAGCCAGCATATACTTGGTTATGCTGATAGACACCACATCCCTTCTTGCCTTTTGGAATTTGGGGAAATGGAGTTTCCTTTGGACCTGACAGATGCATGAGTGTAAATAATGTCTTGTGAGCATGTTCTCCCCATTATCCCCGCTTGTCCCCCTCCCCCTCCTGCAGATCCTCTTCCTCTCCCGGCTGGTCCCCGTTCTACATGTGTTTGTGTGTACGTGTGAGCCAGGGAGTTAATTCTTACAGGAGAATGAGTAAGAGGTTTGTACTAGTGGCTACATCACTGGAGAAAGTGTCTGTCTCCCAGCAAGCACTAACTGTCTATGGGGTTCGGGGGAAGGGTTGGAGCCTCATGAGCCTCTCCTCTCCATGATGGGATGTTGATGGACCCCATCTTGCTACACACGTCTCTGTCCTCCTCCATCTTGTTTTCATGATGGTGTGTCATTGAGCCTGAAGGTCATCGTCTGTCATCACTGAGAGAACGTCTGGGTATTTGAGATCAAGGGGAGGCTTTTCTGTTCCTACCATAAAGAGTGTCCAGTTACCAGGATTCCTCTGCTGCTGTGGCCTTGGCCATGGCCTCCATCTGACCCTCTAACCAGAGTGTGTCCTTGACGGAGAAGAAAGGGGCAGTGGACATATTTGCCGTTACCTACCTGTATCTGTGAGGTTTCACCTGGCCTCGTTTAAGTTTACGAGTGATTAGAAGCTGTCCTGCGGGACTCTGCCTACCGATGAATTCTCAAATAATTGCAAAACAGAGATGAATTGACCTGTTATGCTGTCAAAATCAATTACCGCCAAAGACAGCTTCACTTCCCTAGCCTTATTCTTGGGGTCTCAGAGCCAGCCAGGTTGTCCTTTGTCCCAGGAGAGCTGGCCAAGGGGACTTGCTAGCTTCAACCACCTACCATCCTCACCCTCTCTTGCCTTGGATATGGGGACAAGGGCTCTCAGAAGCAGGAGACTGGGAACCAGAGGGAAGAGTCAGCCCCTGAAGTGATGGGAAGGCTGGGGAAGATGGATCCTTGAGATGGTTTTAAGTAAGATGAACATCTGGATCCCTAGAACCTTTATTTTGCAGCATTGAATATAAGGGGCAATTTATAAATGTTCCCTTAATATTCCTGAAGCAGATTGCCCAGTAATTTATAGACCGCCACACTGAAGACCGAATTGACTTCCCAGCAAGGAAAGTCTGCATGCAGCCTGCAGGAGTGTGGCTTCTGGCACCTCGGCGCAGTCAGAAATGACAGGGCCAAGAGAGAACAAGGAGAGGATACATCTCACCCCCTCCATGTTACGAATAGGGAAACCGAGGCCCACAGTTACATGGCCAGCTCCCAATTGAGCCCAGCCTAGGGCTCCAGTCTCCTGCATCCCAGCGCTCCTTTCTGTTGGCGGGTTGCCATGGGTCTGTCTGTGTAATTACAACACTACAACCTAGTGCTCCTTGGGACAGGCGGCGCCTTCCCTTTTAGGAGAACGAGGAGAACTCTTTGCTTGACCCAGGAGTTGGATGCTTATGGCTCAGGATGCAGGACTGAGTACAGTTCTTTGTTGCATGACTGCCCTTACGGGTGTGTTTGGTTCAGGTGGGCAGGGGCTAGCATGTACTGAGTACCTGGGGTGGGTAAGGCACAGGGGAGGGCTTTGTGTTTACATTGCCTTTTTATAATAGGTATAGTGTGCATTTTTATGCACTTGTGTGTGTTTATGAGTATGTGTGTGTGGATGTGCATGAAGTATGTGTGTGTAGGCTAGCAGATAACCTTGACTATCGTCCCCAAGAATATTGTCCACATCCTTTGCAATAGTGTCTTTCACTGCCTAGAGCTCATCATTTTGGCTCAACTGGCTGACCAGCAAGTCCCAGGGATCCTCCTGTCTCCACATCCTCAACTCTTGGGTCATAAGTGTACTCCCCCATACCTGGCATTGCTATGTGGGTTCTGGGGATCAAACTCAGGTCCTTGAGCAAGGCAAGCACTTTACCAAGTAAGCTGTCTCTCAGCCCTAGCATAGATGTATTTTCATGTCTCATCTTACAGATGGGAAAAATGAGGCTCTGAAGTTTCAACCTTGTCTCTTTTATCCACCTCTTTACCCTGATTCCCTTCCCCATCTCACCAATCCAGAGCAGCAAGCAGTGAGAGGGAGCAGAGGTTTCCAGGGCCTGGAGTGTTGGATGGGCATTAATAGACCAATGGATTTCCTAGGATCACAGCCCCCGAACCACCTGGAGAGACCTTGCTAAAATGTTCCCTCCCTGCAGAAGGAAGAGCTGGGTGGATATCATTCCGTCAGAGCCACCACCCTTTGATCCCCAAAGTTCTGCCCCTGTGTCCCAGTCACACAGCCCAGGGGCCACCACCACTCATTCCTCCATCTCTGGGATTCTGGACTGCTTTTGTACTGTGAGCACCCCCAGGAGAGAGATGGGAATTTCCTACAGAACATTCCAGAGCAAATCAAGGCTGGTCTGTATCCTAGAAAGGCCACATCAGGTCTCACTATGGCCATTTAATAACGAGTCATCGAACAGCAAGGCAGTTGCTCCCACTTACTCGGTCCTTGAATCACGGCAAAGGCTTCAGGAGCCAGATCTTGACTGCGAAAATTGAATTGAGACTCGAATGTTACCAAACATTGTAAGTAGCTCTGAGTTTGTTTTCTGAGTGTTCTCTGCTTTGTAACAAGAAAGAGACTCACAGAGCATCAGGGCCAGAGGAGGCTGCCTGTCTCCCACACTCTCACACACCAGTGCAAATACACACTTCCAAATGAGGCACCTCAAGCCATTATGTTGTGGCTCACGTCTGAGTATCTCCTTGTACATGACATTTACGAAGAAAAACACTTGCAAATTAAATGTTTGATTAACATTACATCTTTTGCAGCTTAAAATGGGTGCGCATAATTGAAAGCTGCATTAGCTGAAGAATATGAACTTTAAATGAGCTTTATCCTGGGCCTATGAATTTCCATCGTTTTATTGAATCTTTAGTGCCAGTGGCCCGGGGTATTTATACATCATATTCGTGGAATACTCTGAAGATTCAGCAGTCTGCAGGCTTGTGGGGGGAAATTGGTACCGTTTGACTGTAAAGTCTGTGTGAGGGCAGTGGGCAATTCCTTTTGGAATTTGGAGGTTATTTTATCAAGACTGAGTGAAATTTACTCTTCCTTGTGCGGTTAGAGCCTAGTGACCCAGCTACTCGGGTCTTAGGTCCATGGCTACCACTTTTCTAGATCCTGTGTCTACACTGGAAATATCCCCTGCTTTCCTTGCTTGCTTCTAGAAAACACTTTTATAAAATCGAGAGTCTTTATTCCTTGGCTAGGGATGTAGTACAGAGTGTTTGCCTAACGTTCATGAAGGTCTGGGCTCCATCCCCAGTACTGGATAAACTCGGCATGGTGGCTCACACCTGTGATCCCAGCACTCAAGAGAGGGAAGCATAAAGGTCAGAAGTTCAAGGTCATAAGGTCATCCTCAGCCACATAGCAAACTCAAGGCCAGCCTGGGCTACATGACACCCTAACTCAAAAATCTAAAAACAACAGATAAACCAACTCCAAACACCAGCCTATTCCCTTTTCCTTTTCTAGTCCTTTCTCTGTAGACTCTCCCTTGTCTCCTTTCCTTTCACCTGCCATCCAACATCCAGGCCACCCACTTTGCCTTGAGACAGTGGGGGGACTCTTCCTCCAGTTGGGGCTGGATGATTCTTACAGAATGAATTGGACTTAGCTCTGAGAAGAGACTGGAGTCGGGAGGGGCATTGATTAGGCTCCCATCCTTTTGAAAATGTTGGAAAACCTGTAGGCAGGTGGTCTGGAGCAGGTAAGGATGGGAGCCAAATCTAAGTGTACCTATAAGGATTAGCCTCATAGAGACGCTCAAAGGAGCTGCAGAGAACTGTGAACCAAGAAGAACTTGACAAGACATGAGGTTTTGAGACCACACAGGAGGCTGCAGTGAAGGATGAGGGCTGGCCTGATGGGGCTAATGTTGGTGCATCCATGGCTAGGGGCTGGCTACTGTATCAGCCAGCTCTCAAGTGAGCCAGGGGAGACAGAACACAGTCAAGCCTGCTGGGACAGCTGCTGAGAGATTTAGGGTAGTAACTATGGCCAAGAAAAAAAGCTAGCATGCGAAAGGCCAAGGCCTCTGGAAGACCCATGGGGCTAGGGGTGGTGGTGGTAGAGGCTGGGAATGGAGGGGGTACATGATAGGGTTCAAGGATATCCAGAATGGGGATCTCAGGCTCTGGGTAGCAACTACAACATCCCCAAAGCTAAGACAGCCAATGACTAGCAGCGGTGCAAGGGAGGTTGGGGACACTGATGTTGACTGAAGGAAGTAACTGACAAGTGCAGACCACTCTCCCATTCTACCACACTTAAACTTACCGGAGCCGCTTGATCCTGCCGTGCTGTTGATGCTACTAACACTGTAAGAAATCTAAGGCAGGTTGATTTGAAGATGCCGTATTTAGTGCCCCTTCCCCCGGTATCGTGATTTAACAAACAAGAATATTGGTACACCCTTGAGCATTTTGTCTGGCTCCTTTCTGAGCACTGCGAGACGCAAATGGCACTTGAAACCTTGCCCCAAGGGAACTCATGGTCCAGAGAGGTTAACCCGGTGGTTACAGGGAAGCATTAGGTTATGATCCACGCACCCCCTGTGGTGGTTTGAATGAAAGTTTGCTATAGTCCAGGCATAGAATGCTTGGTCCCCAGCTAGTGGGGCTCTTTGAGGAGGCCTATGAGGCATGGCCTTATTGGAGAACGTTCGTCACTAGAGGCAGGCTTTGAGAGTTTAAAAACTTGAGCCATTTCTAGCTTGCTTTCTCAGCTTTGTGCTTGCAGTTGTGATGTGAGCTCAGTCTCTGCTCCAGCCACCATGCCTGCTGCCTCCATCCACCATCATAGACTCTGACCCTCTGGAACCATATGCCCAATAAACATTTCCTCTCTAACAGCAGTTCTCAACCTGTGGGTCACAGGCCCCTTAGGAGTCACATATCAGATATTTATACTACAATTCGTAACAGTAGCAAAATTACAGTTATGAAATAGCAACAAAGTAATTTTGTGCTAGGGGGGCCCATCCCTTCCACCCATCCGTCTACACACCCGTCTACCTGTCCATGCGTCTACCCATCCCATCCATCCATCTATGCACCCGTCTACCTGTCCATGCGTCTACCCATCCCTTCCACCCATCCGTCTACACACCTGTCTACCTGTCCATGCGTCTACCCATGCAGCCACCCTTCCATTGAACAGATTCTGGTGCACTAGTTATGAATCAGGGCATGGAGATCTGAAGTTGCTCTTCCAACCCCTGGGCAGTAAACATTCCCAACACCCGGCCCCATCCCAGACATGCTACTTGAGTGGGTCAGGAGTGATACTATTTCAGTACACTTCCTAGAGGATTCTCCTTTATAGCCAGAGCTGGGAAGACTCAGAAGTGGCTGCAGCATGAAGAAGGGAAGCCTGCTGAGAACTGCGGTGCCAAATGAACTTCAGAGCAGGGAGCTCTGGACACCCATAGCCGGGGTGACAGAGTCAGGACTTGGTCCCTTGTCCTCTTCATCCACAAACTACTTTCTGCTGTCATAGTGTCAGAACAAGGCAGGATTTAAGCAGGGCTTGGATAACGGGGAAGGCCTGGGACAGATGAAAGGGAGAAAAGGCATTTGAGTAGGGAAACCGGAACAGCCAGGATTTTGGAGATCCAGAACGAGGCTGGTACATTTGCAGCCGAGAGCCTTGGTGTGCTTTCAGTGCACAAATCTGTCAGACATGTTTGCAAACACCGAGACATCTGTTCTGCAGGGTGCCTGGGCTTCACCCCCACACCTGTCACTGGGTGCAGTTACAAGGACCAAAGGGCCACCCCGTGCCATCTCATGATCATAATCTGCCACTGATCTCATGGTTCTCCCAAAGCCTCCTGCGCAGCCCCACCTGGAGAGCAATGAGAAGTGATAAGCTGTCACAGGGAGGAAGTTTAAACAATTACTTTGCTCTGATTAAGAAGGGTAATGTCTGTCTTGGAGGAGCGGCCCTTAATGCGAAAGTGGGGGTGATGGATGCTGGCCCCCTCCCACATAAATCTCACCTGTGCGTCTTTGTCGCCTCCTCACGATGCGTGTATGAGATAAATTCTCCAAATCTATTTCTGTGCCGATGCCAGCAGCCTGCTGATGAAGTAAACAAGAGTTATAGCTGCCATAATGGCATCACTTATGAGGAACAGAAAAAAAAAAAGCAAACATGTCCACACGGCCTTATAAATCTGTTTATAAATGTGTGAAGTTCCACTAGACAGCCCAACTTGCTTGTCCCAGAGTCCAGATGAGTGAGTGAGTGGTCAGGTGCCCAAGAGGGCCTCAAAGGGCCTGAAATGCCCTGGGATGGCCTCTTGGTTGCCTCTTCCCTCTCCCCGAGTCTTAAGTTCTGGTCAATTATGAAAGTGCAAGCCACAAGGAGTCAGGGAGCCTCCTTCAAACTCCATCTCTGCTCACCCACTGCCTCCACATCTGCATAGCCTGACTCACTCTGCATATTTCCTCTACGTTCTTCAGTGGTGCTGAAACCAAATCCTTTGACGTAAGAGGGAGAGTCCTGAGCCTCTGTTTAGAATGGCAGATTTCGGAGTCAACATCCATAAATCTGAGGTCTTTGCTGCTTTCCTGCTTCCTATTCCAGCCTATGCCCATCTACCTGCTTGCCTGCCTATCTATCTATCTATCTATCTATCTATCTATCTATCTATCTATCTATCTATCTCCTCATTATGTAGACCAGGTTGACCTCAAACTCACAAAGATCCACCTGCCTGTCTCCTGAAAACTGGGATTAAAGAGATTAAAGACATGTATCACCATGTCCAGCCCTATTTATAGTGTGTGTTTGTGGCAAGTATGTATGCAGGCCTGTATGCCATGGCACATTTGTGGAGGTCAGAGAACATCTTGCCCAGTATGGGTCCTGGGAATTGAACTCAAATCATCAGGTTTGGTGGAAAGTTCCTTGCCTGCTGAGCTGTGTTGCCAGTTCATAACTCTCTTGAGATGGCAGGGACTCTCCTGGCCAGAATGGAAAACTCAGGGTCTTCCAAGGATCCAGCCCTCTCCTGGCCCTTCTCAGCTCCTGGTTGGCCTTCCCTGCATGCATGCTGCATGGTCTTGTCGTCTGCAAGTGGAGTTGCAATTTAATGCTAACTCAGCAGGTTGTCATATTCCCAGCAGAGAATGCAGGTGGCGTCCTTTGTCAGGCTGAAAGTGCTGTGTAGCTCAGAACTTGGGATTATTGATCTGCGGGGCTTTTATCTGGAATCCTGAACCCAGAACTTGAGCCAGAGGCTCCATGGTTCTCTTGGCAAATGCAGTGTATGAGGCTAATCACCCTTCCTCTCGGGCATCTTCTAGAACCCTGCTTCAGCCTCCTGAGTGTTATGATTGCAGTGGGCACCACCCCACCCAGCTGCATGCTCTTTCTGCCTGCAATGGCCATGAGTCTAGATCAGGAATAGTATGAAGGGGTGATCGGCTGCCTCTGGGAACCGTGTAGGCAATAATTCCCAGCTTGGGCACTCAGTGGTCCAGAAAGTTCATAAACCTGTTCCAATGTAGCCAACTTCTCCTCTCTGAAGGGTGAAATCAGTTCATCTGGAGAATGAATCCACAGTCCGGGTCCCTATTTAAAAAAAAAAAAAAAAAAGGTGAAAAAACCTCCCTCATGGGGCACTCAGCTTGCAGATGTTAAATGTCAATAGTTTCCCCAGCGATGGAGGCAGAAAGCGGAAAGGTTGGCCCTTTCAAGAAGCTAATTGCCTTCTGTAAATTAGAACTCTTAACTGCACCAGCCTTCCTCTTTTCCCGCCTCTCCCCTCACCCTGATCCTTTGCCTGGCCCAGGTGCCCCAGAGCTGGAACCTGCAATAGCGGCTTCTCCACAATGAGAAGAGAATGGGGATTGTTTCCTATCTTCCTCCCACCTGCAGAGGTTTCATGACCATGCAGGAACTGGTGCTAACCTGGAAATGATCACCTGCGAATTCAAAAGACAGCAGGTTCCTGCGCTCACCCTGCCTGAGCGGAGGCGAGTTATCATTTGGGCATCTGTTTGAGGGGAAGCTTGGTGAGCTTCCCCTGCTATGTCCCCTAGGATGAGAGGAGCCCCAGCCCAAGAACATGGACCCTAGATCACTTAACCCCATCTCCCCCAGCTGTAGCATGGATATGCTAAGTGGGTGTCCCCACAACAGAGCTATTTTGAAGCCTGCAAAGATGGATGACCCAGAACACTGCCTGGGAGGTCAGTGAGAGACCCTTAGGTCCCTGAGGAGGGACCCCAGAGGTTGTCCTCTGGTCATCATATGCACACACATAGACACACATGAACACATACACACAGATCATAATTACCATCCATTATTGACCTCCCGGGCAGTGTTCTGGGCCACTTAGCATATCCAGATGGAGAGGATGTGAAAGGAACCAAATGAGGAGTCTGCTTTGGACACCATGGTTATTAAAGGTCATAAGCCAGAGGTGGGCTGAGTTGGTGCTCTGATTTCTGTGTGCCCAGACCTTTATATCCATCTCAGGAGGAGGACAGAGTCAGCCCCATCTTCTGAATGGGAAACTGAGGCTCAGAAAAGATAAATAGCAGAAAAGATAAATAGCTCAGAGATGCTCTTGAACTGGCTCAAGGTCTCAGACTAGTAAAAGAAGATTTGAACCCACTTCTTGCTCTTGGCAACTCATGCCTTTCCCCTCCACCTTGCTATAACCAAATGCCCAACAACTTCTACATGCTTGATGTATGCCTAAGTGCTTTGTACCCTGTAAACCACTCTGTCTACCCAGAGCGCCACCATTGTTAAGAACAAGGAAGGCAGGGCTGGGAATGTAACTCAGTTGGTAGAGCACTTGCCTGGCATGCATGAGGCCCTGGGTTCCACCCCCAATACCACATAAAATAGCCAGAGTGTACAGATTTGAGCATGAGTCCCAGTGACTGTAGATGGAGGCTGCCTGTTCATTCATTTCCAGCTGCCCAGACCTGAAATAATCACACAGAAACCGTTTTAATTGCAATACCGTTTGGCCAATAGTTTAAGTGTATTTCTAGCAAACTCTTACATCTTAAATCAACCCATTCCTATTAATCTGTGTATTGCCATGTGGTTGTGGCCTACTGGTAAGGTTCCACCTGGCATCCAGCATCTGTCTCCTGCAGCAGCTACATGGCTTCTCTCTGACTCCACCTTCTTTCTCTGTATCTATCTCTTCCAGTCTGACGATATTCTGCCCTGCTACAGGCTGAAGCAGCTTCCTTTATTAACCAATGCTAGCAAAAACATATTTACAGCATACAGACGGGAATCCCACATTAAATGACCCTCTCCTTCCCACACCATCATACTGCCAGGAGTCTGTTGCTTGGTATGAGCTCCCAGCAGTAGAGAGTTCCTTTGCTTGCTCAGAGGAGCCCTGTATTGCAGCCTCCTCAGGAAGTACCCTGCAAAGCCTGCTTCTACCCCAGTCCCCGTGGAGGAGACCAGCTGAGACAGCTATGACGTCACTCGGCAGTATATTCTCACAGGAACGTATACAATATTCTCACTGTCACATAGACAATTTGTCACTGACCAAGGCACCTTTCTGTGGCACATGGACTTATACATATGTGCACACACACACTCATGCGCTGAATCATTGTGCAGCTTCAAATGTCAGCCCCTGGCTGCTCCTGTCTCGTCTCCATCCCAGACATCAGAGTGTTTATCAATAAATGTCCCAGCATTTCTGTAAATCTTCCTTTACATCTGGGGCTAGTACTGGGGTCTTTGCCATCCTCGAATCCCTGGGACTCAGTTAACTAGAAGCTGGTAGGGTGTGTTTGCTGAGTGAATAAATGACCGAGCCTCATGGGATCATTAGAGGTTCCCGGTGCCTGCTCCTGGCCCCCAAAGCAGCTCCTGTGGTCTGGCTTATCAGCAGGACCAGCCTCACAGCCAGCCTTTCTGGACGGCTGCTCCCTGAGTCGCCTGTGTGAGACAACCTTTCCGGTACAGTAATCTGGAACTCTGAGTAGCTGATAAGGCCTTCAACATGGCTTCTTTTGTGTCAACATCCCGCGGGCATAATTATGTTAGCTGTGCAAACACACTGGCGGAGAGCCGCTGGACTGCATGTCCTCTGGCCCAGATGTCCCCCAGAAGCCCTGCCAGGATAGCAGATGGGGCCAGTTTAGAGCTGTTCTGCCCTGGGACAGCCTGGGCATCCCAACTGGGCTGGCAGTGTCCCGCTTGTCTATATCTGATTCAGCCACTGGGCAGTGACCCCCACAGCACCGAGGTTCAGTGGCCTCATTGCTTAGAGACATGAGGGGCATGTCTTTGACATGATCACTGGGTTGCCTGTCTATCTGAGTCAGCGGGAAAGGGACCTAGGCCCAGCCTCAAAAATCTCCCAACCTGCAGAGACAAAAATAAAGAAATTTGCTCAAACAGTCCAAAGCTGTGACTTAGGAACTGTGTGCTCTTTGCCTCTTTTCCTTGATTTTTTTTTCCTTTCTGAAAACTGCATTTGATGTGTCTAATGAAGCCATGCATCTTTTAAAAGCAGACATGTGTGCCAAGAAACATGTCATTAGGTGAGTTTGTCGTGTGGACACTGGTAGGGACTCACACCAACCGTAGCCCGTGTCTGAGGCCTCTTTTCTGGTTGTACTCCTGTCAGGTCTCAGAGAAGAGTAGCTTTGTCCCTCCATGATGGACAGTCCCTTCAAGGATGAGCTGTGTTCCCTCAGAAGAGATAGACTGGGGATATGAGGGTGTGACTCAGGACGAAGCGTGTCTGCCTTGCGTGTACAGCCCTGGTACCATGAGTGGTTGCACGTGTCAGTTATCCCAGCGCCTGGGAAAACGGAATCAGGAGAACCTGAAGTTCAGGGTCCTCCTGGGTGATGGAACAAGGGAAGAAAGGAAGGAGGGAGGGAGGAAGCGTGGAGGGAAGTGTTGAAGTCTCAGCCTCACCCCTACCAATGTGTCCTTTTTTGAACATGGATTCTCTGTGTGCATTCAGAGGCCAGAGGTCACATTAGCTAGCCTCCTCAGTTGCTTTCTACCATGTTTGTTTTTTTATATTGCATTTTTTTATTTTATGGGGTAGGGGGTACATGTACCTCGTATCATGCCTATGGAGGTCAAAGGACAGCTTGCAGTAGTCTATTCTCTCTCTCTGCCATGTGGGTCCTGGGGATTGAACTCGGGTCATAAGCCTTGGCGTCCAGGGTTTTGACCTACTGAACTGTCTCTCCTGCCCCTCCATGCTTGTTTATTGAGGTGGGGGTTTCTCGCTGAACCTGGAGCTCGGTCATTGGCTAGACTGTCTGCCCAATGGAATTCATCTCGTCTGAGATTACAGTGTGTGCCCCTGCGTGAAACTTTGCACATGAGTGCTGTGGATTTATAGGCCCCCATTCCTGCATGCTAAGCACTTTGTCCACTGAGCTACTTCCCCACCCCCAGAAGCAGGGCCTTTGCAGACACAATTAATTCCATTAAGATGAGGTCATCCTGAAGCAGTGAACACCTCATCCAACATGGCCGCTGCCTGCCCTAGAAGATGCTGCAGAAGGACAGCTGTAGAAAGGGACTGAAGTTAGCAGGTACAGACCAGGAATGACAGGGGCCACCAGCAAAGTAACCAGGGAGACGGGAGGCAAAGAGGAGAGCTAACAGGTTGTAGAGGGAGCATGGAGTTGCTGGACCCTTACTGCAGAGCCTCTCGGCTCTTGCTCCACAAGAGAATGACTTCCTGTTATTTTAGGATATCTGTTTTGGGAACAGCTATCCCAGCAACCTGAGAAGATTGGACCCCCGCTCCTCAGAAAACAACCTGCTTCCTGGCTTCATGTAACCTTTCTTTGTGTCGCTCCTCTTCCCGCCCACACCTCTGCCCAAGTGATGAAGTCTGTGCATCTGTCCCTAAGTAACTGCTGTCACCAGAAAAGCTTCTCCAAAGCAAGGGGGACCATTTGATTTTTGAGAGCATGCACCCCTCCCACCCTGGTCTGGATCCCATCCCCGTCCCTGCTTGGGCAAAGAACTCAAGTGCTCTGCCCTCAGCTTTCGCCTGTGAACGGGTGGGGAAATACTAGTTCTCAACTCATGGAGTGGTTAGAAGGCTCCAGAAAGTGAGTGGGTGGGATGTTGGCACATTTGTTTTCCAGTAAATGACCAGCTAGCCAGGATTTTAGGCTTCATGAGCCCTACATGAGGTTTCCATGGAAATTACTGCACCCTCCCATTGTAGAGTACAAAGAAAGGGCATGGCTGAGAATCAAGAACATTTTATTTATGGAAACAAGGGGCAGCAGATATGGCCACAGGCTGAGATCTGCCACCCTCAGAGTACCAGGGCCTCACTGAACTTGCCGTATCAAACAGCCTTAGCGCTCAGGCTGTGTCTGTGTTCCTTCCGTGTGAGCCCATCGCCCTCATGGAAACCCTGGGAGATGGGCGGGTCCCCTCTACACAGACTAGAAAAGGGAGGCCTACAGGGGCTCCTTGCCTCACATTGGAGGGAGCCAGAGGCAAAGGTTGTGTGAGCGCCTTCGGGGTTCTGCTTGTAGAGGGCTTGGCCCTCCTGGTCTCTGTGTGTGCCTGGGACATAAATCAGTGAG